GCCTCAGGAGCCCCAGACGGGGTCCCTGGGGGGGGCTGCTGCTGGAGCCTGAGGCCTTAGAAGGACAGGACGGGGTCCCTGGGGTGCTGGCGACAGGGAGGGGGATCTGGCTGGCAAGACCCCCATGCACTGGACAGGACTCTGGGAGACCAGGCAGGGCCCCGGGGAGGTGTGGTGGGCCCCGAGGCCCCTGGGGACTGCCCACAGCCTCGCAGCGCTGCAGCTGAGCGGTACCAGGGTTTTTAGGTGGCTGGGTGTGGGCTGGAGCTACGAGCGGGGACCTCCCAGAGAGCAGCGACCAGAAACCACAGCTGCTGGTGTATATCGGCATGCGTGGGCCTGGGGCCTGCTGGGCCCTGCTGTGACCCCCCCTCAGCTGCCCGGTGGTGCCCTTAGTGCTGTTATTTGGTGAGGGAGGAAATATTTTTCACCCCAGTATTGCTATAGGTTTATCTCTCAGTTTGTGGGCAGCGCTTGCTGGTACAGCAAGCACCAGTCTTGGGTATCCAGGTATTCAAATACAACCTAGAGCTCTTCAGTGTAACTAGGTAAATGCAGTGGTGGTTCAGGAAGCTTAAATATGTGTACTGTGCACAAACGTTGAGTTTCTAACGCCTGAGGGAAGCTCTCAGCCTTTACTGTTCCTGGCTTTCACCAAAGCAGCTCTTGATTCTTCAAGAGCCCCAGTATATTTTGCAGCTTTGCTTTTGTTTTCTTTCAGAGATTGAATTCACTTCAGGAACTTCAGCTCCTTGAGATCATGTGCAATTATTTCCAAGAGCAAACCAAGGATTCAGTCCGGCAGATCATTTTCTCATCTCTCTTCAGCCCTCAAGGAAACAAAGCAGATGACAGCAGGATGGCTTTACTAGGAAAGCTGGTTTCCATGGCAGTGGCTGTGTGCAGGGTTCCTGTTCTGGAGTGTGCTGCCTTCTGGCTGCAGGTACAGCTTCTGTGCAGGCAGGGCGGTCTCGGGGAAGGAGCGAGGGAGTGTGCCGCAATGGGTAGCGGGTGAACTGAGGCAGAGTGTCGCCAAACGGTCAGTGACAGCTGGTTGCGGTCAGCTGCTCATCTGTGGCAGTGTCGGCTGATGCAACAGCTGGCTGCTGGAGCTACGTTCACCCCACGTCTGTGCTCGTGTCCATTCCTTTGCTCCAGCATAAAGGTAGAGCTTTTGCCGATCCATTTATGTGCTGCACTGGCAGAAGAAAATCTGGTGGGTTGTTTTTTTTTTTTTACCATGGGTGAAAGTTTTATTGTTTTGTGGGTGGTTTTTTTTTTTTAGTTTTATTTGATTTTTTTTTTTTCCCCACCCGAGCCCAGCATGTCGTGGGTGGTTTTTTTTTTTTTAGTTTTATTTTATTTGATTTTTTTTTTTTCCACCCGAGCCCAGCATGTTGAAAGGGATTAGTGGGGGGTTTGACCAACACAGGGAACAAAACCAGGGCAGTTCATGGTCGCATTGCCCAAAGAAGCCAACTCTGGAGCTTGGGAAATAAACTGTCCCTCGTGTGCAAGTTTGGGCATGGCAGAAGAGGCAAACCTCTCTCTTGAGATTTGGGCACAAAATACCTGTGTCTGGTATTCATATCCGTGAATGCAGTATGTCAGGGATCTCCTATATCTCCTCCTTTCCCACTGAGATTCCCTACTGTAGACCTTGGGAAGTGCATCTTCGTTCCCGCTGCGTTTGCGGGATGTGCAGAACTCATCTGCTTTACAGAAGGGGAAGAGCAGAAAGGCTGTGCTGGGAGGGAAGGGTGGCAGGAGGCAGACCAGTACCGTTTCTGTGGGGTCCCTCTTTTCCCATCTGGTGAGCGTTGGTAGATGAGGAGGGGATGTAACCTGGGTAGCAGAAGAAGGTGTAGGTTTTTTGCAGATCGCAGCTCTTAAGTGACATGAGGATTGCACAGAATTTTTTCCATGTTCAAAATGTCAAGCGTAACTGAGAGGTCAACTGAACTAGTTGTTCTGGTACTGAACTAGTTGAACTACAGAACTATGTTGCTGAAGTAGTAAAAAAATCTCCATCTAAGTCAGACTATTGCTGTAAAAGGTTTTCATTTTAAACTACAGATATTGTAAACTGGAAATATCATCATCTATTTTAATATTGTGAAATAGTAATTTTATTTCTGTCTGAGTGGATCTTTGATATGCAGAGAGAGAAAACGCGCTTTAATGTTGGGACAGTGGAAACACAAATGCTGAAACAGCAAAGTGGCTGGGCAGGCAGTGTTTAGGCAACGCAAACTTTAAAGTCGGCTCTGTAGAACTTCCTGTGAGTGGGTTTAATCCGCTTTTCCTTGCGTGCTGTCCCGCACCCCTGCAGCGAACCCCCGCCGTGTACTGCGTGAGGCTAGCCCGAGCTTTGGTCGACGACTACTGCAACTTGGTGCCAGGGTCCATCCAGACGCTGAAGCAGATATTCAGTGCCAGTCCTCGCTTCTGCTGCCAGTTCATTACATCCGTCACGGCGCTCTACGACCTCTCTTCAGGTAAGTGTTTCCAAGATGTGTCTTTCGAAGTAAGAGGTGCAGTATAATGCAACACAAATTAACTGTTGCAAGCGAATTAACTGCTGAAATTCTAAAGATGCTTGTTACCGTGTAATTATTGCCAGAAGCAGCTCAGGGGTGTGGCTGTTGCCTCATCTGTCACTGGGGTGAGAATAAAAATAACCACGCAGTGGCTGAAGGGAGAGCCTTTGCTGGAGAAGCAGCCAGGTAACGCCCGAGACAAAGGGCAACGTCCTCCACAGAGGGTAAAGGACGCGGGGACCTTATTGATTGAGCAGCTCTAGGAGCGAAAGCTGATCTGCCTGGGCTGGGCAGTTGGACCTCCCTATTGCCTGTCACCTACCCAGCAGATAGACTCAGGGCTGTCGTGTCAGTCCAATTCCTTCCAAAAAGGGGAGAAACACAAATTCTGAGTGTTTGCACGCTGGAGCAGGATTTCTGTTGAGCGGTGACGAGAAACACAATCAACAGCGTACCTCCAGTGCGCTCTCTAACTGTACGTGTTAACAGCTAGTGGTATGACCTGTCTCAGGTTGTTGTTGCTCAGACACTAGAAACGTGTAGTTGTCGAAAATAAGATTGATTTACCTTTACTCAGCGAGAGAGACGGCAAGCTCATGGTAGACTAGGGAACAACCATACGCTGAAGACCAACATCACATATAATCCAAAAAAGCAAATGCTATTTGTTATCGATAAAGGAAATGTTTTGCATGGTCTTCTCCAGATAAGCAGCTTGGCATTAGTGAGAGAGAGGTGAAGGCTTAGACTTCTTTTTTTTAAAAAGTATTTGGTAGAGCTTGTAGCATATTCCTCAGTATTTTATATCTGTTTTGTGCAACCACTTGGAAGTTCATCCAACTAATTAAAAGACATGTCAGAAAGGAAATAACATGAGTTATAGGAAGTAATTTTTTTTAATTCCTTAATTTATTTGAGATGTTATTGGTGACACAAGAAAAGGAAGCTTGCTCTTCAAAGAGTGGTCTGTAACTGGGCAGTCTCCACCGTGTCCTGAGGACAGGAGTCGACCACACAAACAGCAGTATCTGTGATACTCAGCTTTTCCGAGACCTCTAAAAACTGGAAAATACCGATTCCGTATCCAGTGCGCATTAGCAATTCTGTAGTCCAGATGATTTGTCCTATAAGTCACTTCAGGTACAAAAGACCTGACTAGACAGTTCTGTGCTGAGCCCTTTGTTGACACTGTACACAACTTGCGATGAAAGTACGTCGCTCAATCCAGTAGCCTGTCCCCGTGACGGGATGATGCACGATTACTGGGAAGTCAGTGTTCCTCTTGTCTGTAGTAGTCAAGCTGCAGTTCATGACCACCTTTCACTTCTTACTTGAAGCTTTACATAATCTTATAATCCTTTACCTGTCATGTGATCGTGTTGTTGCATTAAGTTTTTCCACGAGACATGCTTGTTTAGGTAAGACTTAAAGGAAATGAGTTGAATGACTGGGGTGGAGAGAAAGAAGTGCCAACAAGTTTTTCCCGTTCCCTTGCCCGTTGTACTTCCTGTGGCAAGGGATAAATGGAGACTGAGTTTAGAGAAAAACTGAGCAGATGATGGGTGGGAGAGAAGAAAATGCCAAAAGCAGCTTTGCTGGGAAAGGGGATAAACGTTGGCATTTGGCAGTGGAGAAGGTGACGTTGACAGGAACATGGTTGTGTCGCCCCTGGGACAAACGAGCACCTACCTTTGGTGTCTTGAAAAAAACAGCAGAGTTGGGGAGGTTTTGAAATTGTAATTGCGACAGTGCGGGAAGGGTGTGTGTGAGAGACTAATTAAAGACTGCTGTCCTGTGCTCCAGTGCAAGGCTCAACTTACTCCATAATACCTTTCCTATCTTCAGATGACCTCATCCCTCCTTCGGATCTGCTCGAGCTGATCGTTTCCTGGATCTTTGAAGACCCCCGCTTGATCCTCATCACCTTTCTAAACACTCCTATTGCAGCCAACCTGCCAATAGGGTTTTTAGAGCTCACCCCGCTGACTGGACTGATCCGTTGGTGTGTGAAGGCCCCCTTGGCTTATAAAAGGAAGAAGAAAGCCTCTCTCTCAAATGGACACCCTCCCAGCAAAATTGCCAAGGACTCCACTTCAGGAGAAGACAGAGATTGCCATCAGCTGTATTCAAAACTGCATCTAAGTGTCCTGCAGGTTCTTATGATGCTTCAGGGGCATTTAACGGAGAAGAACCTTTATGGGCGCCTGGGGCTAGTACCCTTTGACCACGTAGTTCCGCTCGTTGAGGAAATTAACAGACTATCTGATGAACTCAATCCTCTCAATGCATCCAAAGAGATTGAACTGGCTCTAGACAGACTGGCTCAGGCTTTGCAAGTGGCCATGGCATCGGGAGCACTCCTGTGCACTAGAGGTAAGTTGTCGGCGGGGCTGGCGGAGACTCTGGCACGAGGTTCTTTTCCTCCAGTGTGTGGATGTTGTAAGAGGGAGTTTTGGGGGTGGGAGAGTAAAGATCAACGTGTTCACAGCAGAAGTAGTAGTTTGCCACTCTTAGGAAGTGATAGTGCAGGAAATACTTCAGGAGAAATAACTGGATGGGGGGTAAGAAAGGAGAGATCATTGGTGACTGGTGTGTTGCTTTGCAGAGCTGGAGAATTGATCTTCTACCTTGCAGTGTGCACAAGGGAGTTATATTTGGGGGTCCGGCATGGGGACAAGTTTGACTCCCTCAGAATTGCTTGTAGCTATTTAAAAAGCACTGTTTAACCATGTTTCAGTTTGACTTCTCTGAGTTTGCCTGCTGGAGGAGACACCATGACGTAGATAAATCATGGGGTGGGTGTGCTAGACAATGAATTTGAAAAGCAAGCAAAAACTGTTCATCTGGAACTTCTGGGCCTTCAGCTCTCCTGTAACGAGACCCCATTACAGTGGGTACGATTTCAGTTAAACTTAGTAAAGAAGCCTGCTAATGTGGCTTTCACCTGTCTTTCCTGTTGCCAAAACCGGTTCTTTCCGAGAGACCTGCAGAGATGAAAAAGGGAAGTGCCGTAACACAGCACAGGGTCAGTCAGACATACTTTTTTTTGTTCTCTTGAAAACAGGTCATTCCTGGTGTGACCAGAAGGCTCAAAGCTCCCCAAAGCCGGGGCAGTTAGTGCAGACCCCGGCTGCGGAGAGCAGCCTCTGCCTAAGCAGGTGCCTGAGGCTTTTGCCCTGGGTGAACCACTGCTGCTGGTCAAATGTCAACGTTATTCTTTTTGATCTTTCATAAAGCAGCTCTGGGTGTAATAAGAACAGGCAGAAAAGTGGAGGGTTTTTAGTTGATGGCTCATTTTGGCTGTGTTTTTTTTTTTCCCTAGCTGTTCACCTGGTACATTCTGAGCGCTTGCTTTTACCGTAGAAGTGGAAAGTAATTCAGTATAAGTAGCTGCCGAAATACCAGTTATTTTGGTGTTTTGGGGGTGTGTTTATCTACAAACGCAGGAGTTTGTTCTCAAGCTATTCCTGAAAGGACTCTAGCAACAGGGTATGTTGTTAAATGCCTTGGTTCTAGCTATTCTGCTTTGGAGAGGCAAATACAAACTGTTCATCAATATCTGAAAATTGGTTGAAGGAAGTACTCCTTTCAAGGACCAAGGAAGAGGTGGCAGCAGCTCACGAAGGAGTGAGGCGTACAGATATTACCAAGAAATGTTCTGGAAAAGACATTAAGGTGGTAAAAAAGGTGCAATTTTTAGTTAATAGACCCTGGCAAAAAAAAAAACAAACAACCCAAACCTCAACCCTTTCTTTACACTAGCACTGTTTAAAAAAACCCCAAAACAATGCAAAACAGGTATTGGGTAAGCTTTGCCTTGCTTTGACCTGATGCCTTTCTCATCATAAATGCCATATTCAGTGGGCAGAGTCATACCTTGTATTTCCTATGTCTTAGTTACTTCTTGGTAGTATATTGATATTGCAAATTCTATACTGAGGCTTGGTCTGCCTTGAAATGAAGCTGCATTTCCCATATGGCAGCGCAGGTTAAACGTCGAACATACAATAAAGCGTCAAGCGCAAAAAGCTGCAATAATGACTGGGGAGATGGAGAAACGTGGTCTCTCCCATGGAAGTTTTTGGCCTCAGGCTGGGATTCTGGATCTGTTGATGACTGGAGCTTTTTCGGTAATCTCATCTTCCTAGAAAGGAGAGCGGAGAGGAAAACTGCTCTAATTTCTGCTTTACCCTTCTGTCTTCTGTCCTCTTTCAGATGACTTGAGAACTGTGTGCTCCAGGCTACCGCATAACAAGTAAGAGACCTTTCTACAGCTGTGTTGGTTTTGATGCATCTTCCAAGACACGCACTTGAGGGCTGCTGAAACAAAATCTCCTCTAAAAAATTGTGTTTACTTTCCGGAAGTTGGCCTCTATTCACACACAGTTTAGCGCAAGGATAAAGGTGATAGCGCTGGCTACTTCCTCCCTTGCAAGCTGGACTCTTGGCTGAAGGAGACTTCAGTGACCCCCACCGTATAGATGATCTTGCCCAGCCTGTGTTAGAACAAATGCACAGAAGGGGAAAATGAAATTATGGTGTGGAACTTGCCCCAAAGTTGTCCCATCCCCAACTCCCTGCTTGTTTTACCTGACCCTAAGCTTAACTGCACTTTGCTTCTTGCCTCTTCGCAAAAAGCAACCAAGTTTAAAAAGGAAAAAAAAAAAAAGGAAAGAAAGAAGAGTCTGCTGGAAGCTGTAAAGAGCTTAACTGAATCACTGTCCTCTTGCCTTCCAGCAGTGCTGTGTGTTGGTTATGAATTGTCCTTAGAGCCAGGCCCCTGTGGGCTGGGGAGAGCCACGACAAAAGCCGCCTGTAAATAATCCTCACGCCTGTCTGAATTTCTCTCCACAGCCTGCTCCAGCTGGTGATTTCAGGTCCAGTACAGCAACCGACCCACGGCGCTCTGCCACCAGGATTTTATCCTCATATCCATACTCCTCCTCTGGGCTACCCCGCGCACCCGGCGCTCCCTGCTCACCCGGCTCACCCGGCGCTCCCGGCTCACCCCGTACAAACGTTTATACCAGGAATGACATTCCCATACCGACCTATTCGCTAAAATGCTAGGACTGTAGAGTGTAGCCAGTTTCCCTTAGTTTGAGGAAGCCTTGCAGATGAAACCAAATGTCTCGGGAACCACATTTTCCTCTTTGGTGTAAAGCTGAGCAATGCCCGCGTGAGGGATCAGCCCTTCGGCAGTAGAGGAGACGCAGACGGGTAGGCTGCGGTCGATTTGGATGTGGGGTGCAGATACTAAAGCAGATCGTAGGGACAAAAGGAGGGGGTGGGAAGAGACAGCAGAAACTCCAAACCTCTGCAGTGTGTGGAAATTTTTTGGATCCACGTTGTTTCATGTAATCACCAAGGGTATGGTATTTCTCAAGCATGTGTTTTTCAGTAGCCCTGATCTGCTTACGGCACGGTGAGCCCAGCTGGTCTTGCTCTAGGAGGGCCAGGAAGAAAGGCGTGAGGTTTTTCAAGCTAGTCCACTCCGGCCTGCTCGTTTCTTTGTAAATGTTTGTATCTATAGCTACAGAGTATGTGTACACTGTATATTTTTGGAACACAAACGTTTGTTTCAGAAGCACAAGGTAGAGTAAAGCAGCACTTCCTATTAAAGGAAACAGTTTAAGAAGCGTAAAATAATTCTGCCGCTTTCTTTCAAACAGCGAGGGGAAGGTCCAACGTGTTAGGCCTGTGCTAGGGAGGGAACAAAACCCCTCCGTGGCTGCAGTGACCCGTCATCCTCCAGGCTCGGGAAATGCCCTCTGTACACGCCTCAGTCAGTGATTCGTGAAACTGTGGGGTGAGATCTGGTGCGTTTAATTAATGCTAGCTGGAGAACTGGCGGAAGGCTGGCTGCGACGTGCCGGCCAGCTCTGAGCGGGGCGCAGGCGGGTGCGGGAGCGTCCCGGGAAGGGCAGCGGAACTTGCTGCTGCTAGCACTACAGCGAAACACGCCGTCTAGCCCCTTCAGCTGAGCTCTTCTCCGTCGTCGCCCCCTCTGCTGGGTGAAAAAGCAAGAAGGAAGGGTCGTTTCTATACATTAGTGGCTTTGTTACAAAGACCTCCACTGCTGTTGTCCTCGTCGGGGGAGATGCGGTGGCTGTGGTTACCTGGTTGCACCCTGGCTGCAAAAATGGGACGGATTAGGTGGAAGCTGTGAAAATCTGATTTGAATGAAACAGCTGAGAAGGAAACCGCGTTTGCCCTTCTCTGGAAAGGGAAGGTAAATAATACTACTACTATAATAATTTGCTTCAACTTTTGGTCAGGCAGTTGGACTAGATGATCGTTGTAGGTCCCTTCCAACTGAAATACCCTATCCTGTCTCCTCTCACTTTGTCGAGCTTCAACGACAAGGAAAAACCCTTCAAAACTTCCAATTTCGGGATTAGAGTCGTTACCGGCACCAAGCCCTGGCAGCGTGACGGGGCGCCCCGGCGCCCCTCGCAGTGTAGT